CTGTTTACTACTAGCCCTCTTTTCAAAGAAGATATTTTCAAATTTGTTGATATTTTTATATTTATTCATTAAGGAATATGAGACAGGTAGGGTAAGCGTATTAGATTTGCAGATGCAAGTACAGAATCCTAAATAAGATAGTTGATGTGTCTGAGTTTACATTAGTTAGAAGCAACACAGCTAGAACTGGACCTCAAGGGCTTTGGATTCAATCAGATAAGTTTTAGACTGCATCTCAACCCCTGAGAAGTTGAGCAAAAGTGAACAGTGAATGGTTCAAATAAACATGCATTTGTTATTAATTGAGGAAAATCATAAAGAAACAAAGCAAGGAGCATTCACTTCAGTACACCTTTTCAAGAGTGGGAATTCTGGATACCACTGACTTCTTTAAGCTTCTGTTTCCTGTTATCTTATCTACTTAGCCTTTGTTTCTCTATTAAGTACCTGAATGAATAGAAAATGAGTGCTCATGCAATTAAGCCGAGCCTATAGTTTTAATTTTTACTAATGATAGCAGATGAAATGCACAATTATAGAAAAAGAGGAGTCATGAGAAAAGAGTACTAAATGCTATTATATGAACATTAAAAAATCAATTCCAGGCATCATTTGTCCTTCCCTACCTCTTTTTCCCACTAGATCCATTTTTCTGAACCATTCATTCTGGAAAAAAGATTGCAGTTTTATCATATACATTTTGGAAGTTTCTTTAAATCATTTTCTGGAAAAGGTGAAATTAAATAAAATAATTTAATGAATTCTATGCACTACAGTCAGTTTTGCATAATACATGGAAAAATACTATCAACTCTTCTTTTAAATGTAGAAGCACATTTGAAATATTATTGTATGTATATGTAAATAGTGTCTCCAAGACAAAATGGCATCATGAGACTTTTAAAAAGAAATTATATATAGATTTATAGCCTTGACTCATTTTATTTGCATTTGTTACCGAGAAAAAGTCATGTATGCTCTATAAAATAACCCTCAATAATTATAATTTCTTGGCAGACAAGACTAGTGACAGGATTGTTCAAGAAAATGTATGGAAAGTTATCTTTTAAATAGTGACACTTCTTGTAACCTCTTCTAATAACTTCAAGTTATTCTAATAATTTACATTGATAATTTATTAGACATACCATATATTCTCAAAGACTTAGCATTGTGATGCTAGTGTCACTTCAAAGGATGTACTTCAAAGGACATCTACTCTTGCTTATTTTTCAGTGGGAACAGATTGGTGCTTGGAGCACAAATTTGTAGTGTATATCTAAGCATAAAATTTTTTTAACTCAATTAACTATATGAATAGGCAATCATTTTTCCTAATTTCCTCTTGGATGTTTCTTATGAAAATTAGTTCAAGATATACATTTTTGTCCTTCATTATTTTTGTTTTGCTCATTTATTTTTTCATTGCTGGGGATCAAACTCAGGGCCTTTGCCATGCAAGGCAAACACTCTTCCACTGAATTACCTCCAACCCTTGATTCTTCGACACAGAGACAAAGTCTCACTATGTAGCCCACATTGACCTCACACTCATGCCTTCTTGCCTAAGCTTCTGAAGTGTAGGATTACAGATGTGTGCCACAATGCCCAGATGCTGTTCACTAAAAAAAAAGTTTCTCCCTCTTGGGGGCAGCAAGATGGCTTGTGTATACAGAAGCTTGCTGCAAAAGCCTGATAACCTGAGTTTGACCCCTAGACCCACATGGTAGAAGGAGACAACCAACTCCAATGAATCATCCTCTGACCTCAAAACGTGTGCCATGCCATGTACTCCTCTCACCCACATACGAACACAGAACCAGACACACACACACACACACACACACACACACACACACACACTAAATGTAGAAAAATAAAAAGTATTATTCTCTTCTTTCTCATTTCACCCTTTAGGTATGGCTTTTTCAAAATAGACAAAATTGCATATGCTTATTAGACCATGGTGGTTGGAACATACAGTAAAAAGATCAGTTTTGAATAGTTGAACTTATCCAATACAGTATGAGAGGAAAATTTATATGTTCCCTTTCCTCTCTTTCCCTTTTAAGTCTCCAGTCATTGTATTTATCATAGATTTAAATGCCATTTAAATGCATCTCTCATATTTCTATGTCCAACCAGAACCTACTTCTCAAACCCCAAGTCCTTATTTCCTTTCCAGCTACCTACTAGATACCTCCCCTTTCCTGTCTCACAGGCCTTTCAACATTATTATATTGAAGCCAATCTCTTGACCTTCCCTCCAGCCTTCACCTCAATGCAGCATCTCCAAGTCATTCTATAGCAACCCCTTCCTCATAGTTGCTCAAGCTAGAAAAGTTGAAGCCATCTTTTCTCCCTCTGCCTCTCATTCTCTTTACAATCAATACTGCTCGGGACCCATCAATTGCCCCAGTCCTCCCTGCTTTACCCCTAATTTCCCCTGCAATTTACTTTCCACTGGGAAGCCAGAGTGATAAATTTTGTTAGTCATCAGCTCAAAATCTCTAGTGATTCGCCACTGGCTTTAAACAAGACGCAGAAGTCTGAATCATGATCCACAGGCGCTGGCTACCTGCTTTCCTCTTACCACCCACCTCGTCCTCACTCTGTCACAGCCTCACTAATCTCTAGCTATTCCTGACTCAAGACCTTTAGCATTAATTTCTTCCTCGTGCCTGGTATGAGTTTCTCAAATTTTGCATCTTTTCTAAAATGTCATGTTCCTGTGACCTGATCATCCTATTTAAAATCTCACCTCCTCCAGCATTCGCTGTTCCCCATCTCTGCTGCTTTTCTCTACAGGACCCATGTTATGCTTTCCTTGTACATTTATTTAATGCTCATCTTCCTATATTCCTTGGCAGCTCCGTGACAACAAAGATCTTTTTTGTTTGGTTTGCAGACTGCCTTCCTTCTGAGGCAGTCTGTAATTATTGATTATAAACACGTATCCATGTAATAAATGAAAAGAATGGAGGTGGGCGAATGCCGGAGAGGAAAGCACAGTGGTGCTCAAGCAGAGGATAGTAGGGATCACTGCCAGGGGAGAAGACAGGAACTACATCCTGAGGAGAGCAAACAAGGGGAGGGCTTCAGCTGTAGGGTTGACAAGAGTTCTGAGTATTTGGCAACCATATGGAGAACATCCCTGCATTTTTTTAAGGAAACAGTATGCAAGTTAGCAAGCTAACACATGCAAGGCTCATTAAGTATGTATGTTTCTTTTCCTCTGTAAACATAAACTAGTTTAAGGAATCTGGGTGTTCAGATGGCTGAAAAGTTGAAAATCAAGTATGCCTCCAAGCATAGGTTAACCCAGGACTCAAGATCTCTCTCTCTCTCTATCTTTATCTCTATCTCTATCTCTTCCCCTCCCATCTCTTCTCCTTCAGAAGCCTTGGAGAAAGTCTTATGGCTTTCTCTTCCCTCTAGTGGAGCCACATGGCCATTTCTCTGGTAGCGATAATGCTCTGGAAATGGAATGAGTGGTCAACTTACATTAGGGTACATACTTTACTCTTGCACCAAGACTTGGGGAGTAACTGGTTTTCAAGAGGGGACTTAGGGTAAAACTCTTATTTTAAAAAAGGGTAATGGAGGGTGCTAAGGGCTAACAGATGAGCATTACAAACGGGTAACAAAGGCTTGAACTTTGGACACAGCAGTTGCGATGGAAGGGGAAGGAGGAAGTAAGACACGGAGAGGAAGTCAAGCTAACTCCACCCCCACAGCCCACTCTGACTCGGAGGGGCAGGACACAGAGAGGCTATGATTCACCTCTGCAATATTGAGGTATAGGGCTAAGATTTGGCAATATTATCCATGAAGAGTCAAGATGAGGTGGGAGGAACAGATTCATGAGGGAAGGAAAGCGTTTCCTTGCTTTCTCATCCCTGTTTTTGTTAATAAGATTGTTTCCAGCTTCTCGGAACTCCAGAACAATTGAGTTCTTCAAGAGGCAGGAGGCAAATTTTTCCACCAACCACTTATTCTCAGAAGACTTGTCGCTGTGGTTGTGAAAGCTCCTCTCTGGGCCTACATGTGAGAAAAATTTATTTTCCCCCAGTAGTCTGAGTTGCTTCTGCTTGAGCTAGCAGTGTCTACAGACTAGAAAACTGTCATTAAGAGCTGGGTTCAATCTTCTACCACAGAACATTACCATAGAACTGACTTAGGACCATCTTCTAATGCACAGTGGATTAGGCTTAGAGAAACGTGATCATTTAAAGCGTTCCAGTGGATGCCTGTGAAATTATGAAGTGAGGAACATTTGTCGATGGAGTAGGGGGCAAGGAAGGAGGAAAGGCAGGCACTGAATCATCAGGGCATATGCAGACGGGATGCCAGCTTTGCTTGTTTCTTCGAGTGTTTACCATTGACCAGTTACTGTTGCCAATTCTCAATCCAAAATGAGTCATTTAATCACCTTAGAAACTCTTTGTGGGATTGGTGTTAGTCCCATTTTACATATGAGGAAACTGAAATTTTAAAAGGTCCTTAATCAGTCTACCTTGTTAAAGATTCTGTGTCTAATGTGTAATGGAATTTAGGGAATCTGGCTCAAGGGCCTGAGTTCTTAATGATATGTTCCAGAACCTCTCAAGATAGTCATATGTCCATTGTCTCACCATAATTCAAAATATGAAGTCTATAAAGTATTGTTTGGATAGTAAATTATGGATCCCATTCCTCTTGACCACAATAGTTTGATTCCTCTGAACCAAGAAAATCTAGTCTCAGCAGCAAACGGATTCAAATGATGAAGCAGTATGTCCAGGCATATGAGGGGGTGACATTTTCCCACCTGATAATCTACTTTGTCCTGAGAATTAAGCCTGTAGCGTGGGTTGGCATATGTTTGGCTTCAATTAGTAAGCTGCTCTCCTTTCTTACGAATTAGAAGTCTCAGTGTAGACTAGAATAAAGTTGCTGAGGCCATTCTTTGCATCTTTGGCAGATGATTTCACTTATGCCTCAACATTTGACTCCTCCAGGTTCCTCCAGATCTCCAGAATGAAGTGCTGATCAGCCTGTTAGAGACTGATCCAGATGTCGTGGACTACTTGCTCAGAAGAAAGGCTTCCCAGTCATCGTGAGTATTCCAGTTTTCCGATTTCTAGAATCACGCTGGGGGCTTTGATGTCTGTTTCCATTTCTAAAGAATTAGAAGCTTTGACATATTTCCATTCAAAGTGATAGAAGTGGAATTTTGGTCACTTTCTGGCAATTCTAATCTGGTCACCCCACCAGAAAATGTTTATCTTATTAACTTGCCAAATTAGAAGCCACTTTACCAGACTTTTCTTGTTTGTTTTGAACTTTCTCTAGCACCTTCAGAAACTTTAGGCTGGGCTTATTGGGAGGAAATGTGCTAAACCACTGGCAAGAAGCTCAAGAGAGTATGAAATACATCAGTGATTCTAGAAAGCATGTTCAACCTGTAGACTTACACTTCATGTTGCACCTCATGGTAGCTTAGAATGCAGCCCAACACAACCTAAACTTACTGAAAACATCACGATGTTTTCTGAATGACATAATTGTGTTGTTCTTGACCATGAACATTGTAGGTGACAACGTCCTGTGTGACAATGTCGTGTCATAATGTCAAAAGGCTGGGCATGCTTGTTGGTCTTTGTAACTGTTTAATGCCCCATGGCCTGCATTAGGAAGTATTCTTTGTGCAACTTTACCAGTGGAAACAATCCACTGCCAAAGTATAAGGTGAGCTTTTCCTAAGGCCCAGGTACCCCCTGGAAAGGAGATGTGTATACTTTTCCAGCTCCCTCATCCTTTACAGCTCACAGATGAGAAAGAACTGGTCTCCAAGTTTTCAATGAGGAAAATGCAGGTCATGTTTTAAGTTATGGTTTTCACAATTTTGGTCCTAAAAACACACAGAAATTTTACAGTAGTCAGACTTTATGTTTAATCCCAGCAGTTACTGGAGAGGAGAGTGTATGGATGTGCTAAGCATTGGGAAAAACCAGGTAAAGGAATAGTATCACCTCATTAACCAGAAGTATTATCACCACCAAATCATTGAACCTTAAACTTGGAACAGTAAAAGTTGATGTTGATCTCTTTCAAAATTATCATTTATGTTATGTTTTTAATCTACAAGTCTAAGACATTTTTGCCCTGTTTTCTTATCTTTGAAATTAAGATTAATCTTATATTCAATGGCATGTCCTAATTCATAGGATGTTTTCTTTTTTCCCAAGTATACATAAGCAATGGTAAGACTTATTTGTATGTCTTTTAGAAACAATGACTTGTTATTTCTGCATAGTAATGTTGAGTTTGATTACCTTTCATTTCAAATTATTCCCAGGAGATAGTAAAATTATATTATTTCGGGAAATTTAATGAAAAGTAATTCCACATTATTTAATCCCCTTCTTCCCAGGCCATTACATTAATATTCCTGCTAAATTCAGCTTCCTTCCAATTCCAACTGAGTAGGAAAGGTCTTGTAATCAGATCCCCTGTTCAAATGCACTTTAAAAAATCTGTGCCTGTGCCAATCAATATCAAGCCAAATTCTGGTTCAAGTAAGATGCTCTGCTTAGATTCAAGCCCCAAGAACTACAAGTAAATGTATTCAAAATACAAATGGACGGGCATTTCATAGTCTTGTTTACATATCAGTGAACTGGACTCATAAACTTTTCCTAGACTATCAACAAGGCGTAAGTTCTAATTTAAACTAACAAATAGCTTTTCTCCATAACAGATTGTATGCCACCAGAATTTTAATCAACTCACTGTTTCTCTCTCATGGGCATGAAAAGAGACATGGTGACATTTCTATTTGTAAATCCCTCATTAAGCTGTATTTATAGCATTTTGGTGCCATATGGTAGGAAATCTAGAAAATACATACCTTAAAAAACACAGAATCTTTTTCTGATTGGTTAATTTCTTTCTCTTTTGTGCAGCATTACTAGATACCTACATTTTACTGTTGAAACAACCATCCATAGGAATCTATGTGATTTTCGAGAATATGTTCGGCTCTTAGGAAGGAAGAAGTGCACATATTAAGCCATGTCAAGTTGTGCAATTGTTTTGGTCTCTTCTGTTCCTATCCTAATAAGAGTGATTTTTGGGGAAGAGAAGAGAGGGATTTTGTTAGTTTGTTTTCTACCAGGTACAGGTCAAAGAAAAGTCCAGAATGCTGATAATGAAGTCATGAAATAAAATGGTAGACATTAATGGAAAAAAATGTTTATTTTAGCGGCCTTCTCAAGCCAGAGAGTCCTACTGCTCAAGCTGTAGGTGGCCGCTTTGTGTCTCAGACATATGCTTCCCAAACATTCTGTGCACATGGAGTACCAGCAGATCTTCATAGGGTACTTGTTTTGAGTCCGTTGGATTAAAGAGGTGGGCTGAAAGTCTGCATTTCCAACAAGCTCTCTAAGGTACTGTTACTACTGCCTCGTGAGTCCCACTTGGGGCAGAGAAAGCTTAAACTACCAAAGCATTTCCTGCCTATTAGTACATTCAGAACTGTTGGAGGAGTTATTCAGTACATAGACCAGTGGTCTCAGGCTCACTTGGGGATCCTAAAGAACAGCTGTTGGTCTCCCTCTACTTGTTCCTTTGTTCTCGGTTGCAGTCTGGACACTAGGGATTTTGAAAAACTCTCCACATCATTCTAATAAGCAGCCAAGTCTCCAAATGACTGACTCAGATCTACCATATTGGACACTCCATACTTAACAATGCCATAGGGACTTGGGTGGAGTGAGTTTTGATCTTCAAAATGTGTCCTCATGTTGATAAAGAACAGCACAAAGGTTCTGGCTCATAAGTTCACTGGGAGTTTGAAGGAAAGAGTGAAGTGTAACTTAAATTTTCAGAATGGCTTCTGAGGAAAGGAAGCATTTGCAGTGCACTTGGAAGATGTGAGAGGATGCAACTCAGTCTAGAAATTCGGAAAGCTAGGCCTAGGACTTTTCCAGTACTACAAACATGCCATCTGTCTGGAGATGCAATTAGGAGATGAGGCAGATAACATTAAATGGCAGGCTTGGGGTGGCAGTTAAGTCAGAAAGTAGCGATGAAGGGTTACAATGACAAAAGATCACTGTAATCGTAGATTAAAGTGATGGTAAATTAAAGTACTCCAAACTGACAGATGGTGCTGGCTGCAATGGCACATCAGTTATCTGCAAGTCACATATGTTTGTGTAATTTACAACTCTGGTTACAAGTTTCAACTCGAGAGTGTAATTTTCTGTGTCCAAATTCAACCCTATTGGTACTAGTTGTGTGTTCTGGGCTATGTTAATTAATGGCTCTCTGTGACTCAGTTTCCTCTACTGTAAACAGAAGATTTTAAAAAGAGCAGCAATTTACAGAGCTGTGTTCCTAGACTAGTATTCAGTTAATCATGACTGAATAATAAATGTTAACAATTACTCTTGGGCTACTCTCAAGGTCACCATCTGGTTCATTTACAACTACTCATCATAGACTTGTGTACCAGGTATCGTTATTTTTCTCCCTTGATGTCTATGAGATAACAGATGACCAGGCAATGTGGCCTAAGAGAAAACAGTGGCATCGGGTCTAAAAGCAAAGCTATTTACTTCAGACCCCTGATTTTCCTTTCCCCTCAAGCTTCTGTTCCTTGCCTCCAGTTCACATACCTAAGTAAAGCTTTCGATTCCTGGGAGGCCGAGTGGAAAGAGCACTGGATTTTATTTGGAGGGGAAAACAAACAAGTTTTCAAAAGAGTGTAAAACCAGAAACGAGAGAACATTTATTATTATTTCTGTTTTGAAAGAGCAAATATTTCATGATATTTGGGAACTTCGTGTTTTGTTTTGATTTAGATTTTTCCCTTCTGTATGCAACATCGGAATTGGGGGAGTGAAAAGATAACGTATCATCTTTTCCTGTGCTCATCTACTTTGAATTCTAGCTTCGACCAAAATGGAATGCCAAAGAAAGATTAGAGGAGATTTTCAGAACCAAAGATGTCAGACTTACAAGGTTTTAATAGCTTGCCTGGTGTATTTATTAGAATTATATGCTCTTTCCTTCAGAGGTCCTTAAAACAGATCGTCCTCCCTTTGATTCAGTAATGTGACAAAATACGGAGAGGGGATAGAAGGTTAATCTAAGAGGATGAAGTGAGTGGAATGTGGACCCTTGAAGCAGAACCAAGGTGTCATAGACGGGTCAGGACTAGGATGAGGCAAAAGATGCAGCTGTCTAGGCACAAAATGGAAGAGGATGCCAAGAACTCAGTCATGAACACTAATGTTATTGTATATCATATTTTACAAAATCAAATTTGGTCTCCCTCAAACAATGAGGAACTAAAAAGCAACTTCATTTCCACAGGACCATTCTTAGCCATGCAAAGAAGCCAAAGTGAAGGGCAAGTGTGCAGCCCTGGCTCAGGTGGCGGCAACTCTTCAATCGTGTTTTCACATTGGCCTTTCCTTTTCTCAGTTTAACTGAGACAACCGCTAAGTTTGACAGGTTCTGCTGACCAAGTGACAATCTAAAATCATTTCTAATTAACTTAACCTGAAATGATGGTAGAATTGTTTTGGTAGAAATAGTGCATTGAAGCTTAATATAGTGTTAGAAGTTCTAACATCTCTAATTTTCTTTGCTTTTTTTTTTTTTTTTTTTTTTTTTTCGCCATCATCTTTACTGTTCTGGGGAGAGACACTAGCCTTACATAAAATGATTTCTACCAGAATGTCCTTTTCATTTTTTTCCCGGGGTACTTCTGACCCCAGGAATCCGCATAAGGGATGCTTGGTAGAACTTAGCATAGATCAGTATGAAAGCAATCAATAGATTATAGCTCATGAGAGAAATTGTGAGCTCAATGGACTTCAGAATTACCTATGGCATAGTAACTACTTCTAATAGTTCTTGTAGTTTTCAAATATGGTATTCATAAAAACCTAAGAAGCCCAGCATGGTGACACATGCCCGTAATCCCAGAACTTTGGAGGAGGAAACAGTACTATCAGGAGCTTCAAAGGAACAAGAAACAAACAAAAACGTCAGGAATGAAATTTTACTTTCATTCCATCCAACCTCATGGGTGCCCCAGAAATA